ATTCCGCATCCCTCTTCTTTCTTCCATTCCGGTCTTGACCGCGCCTCACCACAGCTAGATCCGTCTCTCTGGCAGTCTGTCCCCCGTCGGCTATACTTGACTTTCGTGCTTTCACCAGCCGGGCTGGTTGGATTGCACATCGCTGCTTTGTATTCGTGCATTTCCATTGTCGCATTGCTGCAGCGGAGTAGACCACGAAACAACAGGCGGCGAACCAGTGTCCCAACTCCAACCTCGCGTCCTCTCACCGCGTCTCTTGCAGTCTTGACACGGCGAACCCTGGCCGCCGGCGCCTTTTGTTGTCTTTCTCTTCCGCCGCGATCCCTACCCCCGTCAACATGGCGTGGCAACCGGCACCCGAGTCTTTGCAGACTCTTATTGGGTGTCTGAAGGACTCGCACAATGGCTTTGACAAGGCTGCCCAGAAGCAGGCCGAGATTGTGAGTACAGCCTTGTCTGCAGTTGCAGGAACAGTTGCAATTGTAGCCAGACCGCAGAGAATGGACAGCATGCTAACAATCTTTCCAGATGCTCGGTCAAGCCAAGGCATCGCCCGACTTCAACAACTACCTGGCGTTTATCTTCTCGAACCCTGCCCCCCCGGCCGGTGTCAGCCTCACCGCGAGCGATTACGGCATTGTCCGCATGGCTGCCGGCATCATGATCAAGAACACCGTCAAGAACGCATATAAGCAGACCCCTGATGCCACAGTTGCTCTCATCAAAGCTGGGGTGCTTCTGGGCCTCCGCGACGAGAACCACCCCGTTCGCAACTATGCCGGCAACATTGCGACCGAGATCATTCGCCGCGGCGGAGTGTACGCCTGGCCTGAGCTGCTGAACGAGCTCCTCAACATGATTGGGAACACCGACGGCCACACTACCTCTGCCACCCAAGAGGCGGCCATGTCCGCCATGTACAAGATCTGCGAGGACAATGCCAAGCTCCTCGACCGCGAGGTCAACGGTCAGCGGCCGCTCAACGTTCTCCTGCCGAAGCTCATTGAGGCCACGTCCAGCCCCCTGCCCCGCGTGCGCGCCCAGGCATTGACGGCTCTCGGCGAGTTCATCCCCCGCAAGTCACAGGCTATGCTCGCCAACATCGACGCCCTCCTCAACCGGCTGTTCCTCCTGGCCCCGGATGCCAACAACGATGTGCGCCGCGAAGTCTGCCGTTCATTTGTTCTCCTGGTCGAGTCGCGCGCCGACAAATTGACTCCCCATGTGGCGGGTCTGGTTGACTACATCATTGCGCAGCAGCAAAATGAGGACGACGAGGACCTGGCCTGCCAGGCTGTGGAGTTCTGGCTCTCTGCCGGCGAGCACGAGGACTTTTGGAAGAGCATCGGACCTTATGTCACTAAGATCGTGCCCTCTCTGCTCGAGGGCATGGTGTACAGCGGCGAGGACATTGCTCTGTACGGCAGCGCCTCTGATGACGACGAGGAAGATGACCAGGATGAGGACATCAAGCCCCGCTTTGCCACACGGAAATCAAACCGGAACGCCAACGGATCCGCAAACCCTTCCGGCGACTCGGCCAATCAGGGCAACAACGACTACGAAACGCTCGGTGGCATGGACGAGGACGATCTCGAGGACGGCGAAATTGAGGACGAGGCGGGCCTGGACGCTGACGATGGCCTCTTTGACGACGGTGGCGACTCGACCTGGAACGTTCGCAAGGGCTCGGCAGCTGCGCTGGATGTGCTGGCCCGTGATTTTGGCGACGCCATGTTTGAGTGCATCATGCCGTACCTGACCGTCAACTTGAAGCACCCCGACTGGCCACAGCGCGAGTCCGCCGTCTTGTCGCTCGGTGCCGTGGCGGAGGGCTGTATCACGGCCGTCACCCCGCACCTGCCAAACCTCGTCCCGTACCTGGTCACGCTCCTGGACGACCCGGAGCCCCTTGTGCGCCAGATCACCTGCTGGACTCTAGCCCGGTACTCGCAGTGGGCCATCGAGCTGACCGAACCTGCCCAGACTGCCAGCTATTTTGTGCCAATGATGGAGGGTTTCCTGACGAAGATGCTCGACAAGAACAAGAAGGTGCAGGAGGCTGCTGCGTCGGCCATGGCGACGCTCGAGGAAAAGGCCGGCAAGAAACTCGAGCCGTACGCTGGTCCCATCATCAAGCAATATATCAAGTGCTTTGAGAAGTACAAGGACCGCAACATGTACATTCTGTACGATTGTGTCCAGACCCTGGCGGAAGCCATTGGCCCTGTTCTGGCCCTTCCTGAGCTGTCGGGTGAGCTGATCCCGGCTCTGTTTAAGCGCTACGACAGTGTACCCGACCAGTCGCGTGAGCTCTTCCCACTCCTCGAGTGCTTCTCTTATGTGGCGATGTCTCTTGGTATAGTGTTTGCTCCCTACGCGCAGCCTGTCTTCCGCCGATGTGTCAACATCATCCACCAGAACCTGGAACAGTCCCTGGCGGCAGCCAGCAACGCACATCTCGACAGCCCTGACAAGGATTTCCTTGTCACGAGTCTAGACCTGATCAGCGCCATCATCCAGGCCCTCACAGAAGAGAAGGCCTCGATGCTCGTGACTGACACTCAGCCGGCCTTTTTCGAGCTGCTCAGCTTCTGCCTGGAGGATCCCACTGACGAGGTGCGCCAATCGGCCTATGCCGTGCTGGGCGACTGCGCCAAATTTGTCTTCCCTCAGCTGCAGCCGTGCCTGAACACGATTCTGCCCATTCTGCTCAAGCAGCTTGACATGGACAGCATTTTGGACGAAGAGATCGACGCGGGCTTCAGTGTCATTAACAATGCATGCTGGAGCGTCGGAGAGATTGCTATTCGTCATGGCAAGGGTATGGCGCCATACACAGAGGAACTGCTGAAGAGTTGTGTCGAGATCATCACCAACCCGCGCGTGCCTCGCGGTGTCAACGAGAACGCCGCCATTGCGCTTGGCCGCCTTGGACTGGCCAGTGCCGAGGCTCTGGCTCCCCACTTGCACACCTTTGCGGACGAGTTCCTAATCTCCATGGACGACATCGACCCGACCGAAGAGAAAGCCACCGCCCTGCGTGGTTTCACTCTTGTGGTTGCACAACACCCGCAGGCGATGGAAAAGGTTCTGCTGCACTACTTTAAAACTATTGCAACGTACGAGGACATCAACCTCCGCAGCCCCATCAAGCAAGAGCTGCACGCAGCCTTCCAAAATGTGGGTCCCTGTTCTCATTTTTGCTACTGACTATGTCGACTGTGCATTTGTTTGAGCTAACCTTTGCTTTTAGATCATCTTGGTCTACCGGCAGATGATCCCACAGCTCGACACGTTCCTGGCCCAGCTGACGACTGAGGAGCAAACTGCGTTGAAAACCCAGTACCGCATCTGATACCGCCGACAAACACACACTGGGTTGTAAGGTGCCTTTATTACTTTCTTACCATGCGAGTGCGTTTCGCGATTGTATATCTTCAACACGATACGAAAGCCATCATCTCCATTTCCCCTTTTACTCCATGTCTTTCACAGTCAGCTAAACGACGGCTCATATACCGTCGTCTTTTTTTGTCTATTGTTTTGCATTTCATTTAACCTGCAGTAGATAGTGCGTGTTTTTATTTTTCTTTGTTTTTGCTTGGATAGCCTTTGTTTTCTAGTCTTTTTTTCTTTCAGTTCATTGTGTTTTTGGTTCTGTTGTCTTTTCTCATGGAGAAGGAAAGTGGATATTTTTGGAGAATGCAAAGAACAAGAATAATGACCCGCAACGAGGAAAAAATTATGAAAGCAAGCTCACGATCTTGGGGAGGAAAATGCCAGGTGCAAAGCAAGAAAGCGATCGGTGACTGATTACTACGGGACAGCTCAGCAAGGTTTTAGTGAGTCGATCTTGGGGATGGTGAGAAATGAGAGAAACAACGGAAAGTGTTACGAGAAGGAAAACAAACATCACCATGAAGTATCAAGATAAGCACAGATCACAAAACAGGAGGAGATACAAAAGCAAAAGAGCTGGACAGTAACAAGGCAGGAGCAAATGAGTACCGGGAATTTACTACTGACTATTGATGAGCAGGCGTCTATGACAGAGATATAGTCATTGAAGAGGAGGGAACGTAAGGCACAGGAGGCGATCGCCTTTTTCTCCACATGTCACATTGAAACGATAGGAAGCATATTATATAGATAGCAACACCTAAATGCTAGATAGACACAAAACATTATAATGTAGCACAGTATTTTCTATAGGCATACATCACTGCATCAATATGGTATTGTTGGTTAGGTTGATTTGAAACAAGTTAGCAGAGATAGGGCATTGCTATGAGAGGATATAAATAATAAGCACAACAGAACAAAAAAAGAGGACAACAAAAACCACAAAGTCAACGCCTGCAGACGCCACGCTCGAATATCCCAAGTGTACGTGTGGGATGATAAAAAAAAAAGGGAAAGAAAAAGAATGCAAACGATGAAATAGAGCCGGCCAAAAAGCGCCCCCATCGGCCAGAAAATGAATCGGATACGAAAGACTTTAAATCAAATTGCCGCTCTAACCAGCCGGGACTTTTTCCGTTCTCGTGCCTGGTACCCGAACAAGAACCAAAAGTCAAGCTTTTGTGCGGTACCGTGAATATATCGTAGGTATATATGTGCATAGTTCGTGTGTGCAGTGTGCGTGTTGAGCATTTGTGTGTTTGCTGTCGAGCACCAACTCGAGTACTGACTCCGTCTACTCGAGTTGAAGACCTCCGTCGTCCAAACCTTATTTATGCAAGGTTTGTTCCAAGAGAGCGGACAAAAAAATGTATATATGGTATCGTGTCGTAGATTCGTGCGCAAGACAGTGGGTCGTTTTGCGATCGCAATAGCAGCGAACGCTAGATATCGTCCCGCCCTTAGGTCCTAACCTACTGCCGTCATGACTGTGTCGCCACATCGTTCATGGTATCGAGATTTCGGCCACCAGTGCCAGCAAAAAGGAAAAGCGCGAAGCCTGCTGCACCGTATTTTATGCAGGTCGCGTTCCCGCGTTACCTCCCGGATAGGGCACTGTTGCTGCGATCTGGACTGGCGCCTTGCTGACCGGCGCCTTGCCGCAAGGCATCGTTATAGCTCGGAATGGGCGGTCCGCCAATCGAATGGCGAGGCATCCGGCGAGCAGGATTGTTGCTGCGAACGGGTGTGGCGGCCGATGCTCCACGGCTCCGGCCAACGCGAATCAGGGGCGTGTCTTCGCTGTCTGTACTGTTGCGACGGCTGCCACTGTCGGATAGTGGTGGACTCGAGTACTGAGGTGGTGGCGTCAAGTCTTGATCTTGCAGACCAAGGCCAATCCTGCTCTCGCCGTTCGCTGCTGCTGCACTACTGCTACCTTCTCCGGCATTATCTGTCGGTACGAGTTGGGCAAGTGAAATATCAGTCGGGCTTCGCGCGGGGCCCGGGCTAGTTGGCGGCAGCATGCGGAAGTTGCCAGACCGAGAGCGGCCATGTCCTGGGTCGAAAGCATTGTTGCGGTTGGTTGAGTACGTCTGGACAGACTGGCTGTAGCCGTGGCCCCGTTGCGGAGCAGCTGCGCTCGTGAATCCGTCTTTGCTGCCAGTCTCCAGAAGAATGCTGCCCTGCTCAGAGCCATATGGTGGCGGCGGTGCAAGGGAGCCGGTCATCGGGGCAAGGCCCCACTTCTTGACGTTGGCCTCGATGAACACAAAACCGGCCTGGCCAAAGTTGACGTGGACAATGGCAGGGCCGTTGGCGCCCACGGCCGGGAAGAAGTTCTGGGACTTGAGGCCGTGGGTAATATCCTCCAGTCGCTTTCCGTTGCGTGTGAAGAAGATCGAGCCCGTTCGTGGACGATAGCCAACACCGATGACATCGCCTTGCACAAACGGCAGTCCGTATGGTGTCGCATTGAATGGCTGATTGTAGCGGCGTGTGCCGGATGACAGGTATGCTGCGGAGAACTTATGGAATCCTACACAAGTAAACAGAGTGTTAGCAGTTGGTGGTCTTCTCCGTGGATATTGGCAACGGCAGTGCCAAGAACTTGCCTGGCAGACGGAAGAGAGGGTACGGCTTTGTCGCCATGCCGATACTGAGTAGTGTGTTATCGGGCTTGTCGTAGATCTTGGCCTCCCAATAGTACACCTCGTTCTGTTTTGGCACGGGCAGGTTGCTCATGACGGTGCATTCGGAGTCAAAGAACTCAATCTCGGTCCGCGCCTCGACGAAGCAGTTGGCGATCTCCAATTCCGGTTCAAACTCCCAGGCGGCCACGCCTTTTTCTTGGATGGCGAGATACTGGGAGAGAGAAATGTCGGTCTGGACGGATTCTGGAGGGTTCGCCGCGACAAACGCTAGATAGAAATAGATTGTTAGCAATGCTTTTCGGGTTCTAACAGGGCGTGTTCTACCTGCTGGCAGGTGTTGCGTGTGAGTGCGTACCTTTGGCGCGCAGGTATTCTGTCCGCTGCATGTCGTCCATCGTCTCGAGTGCTTCAGTTTCCTCTCGTATGAAGGCCTGTTCGTCGTCATATTCACCGGGCCGACCGATCCGGTCGAGGAAGATGCGACCGGGTGTTGTGTATCGGAGAAAGTAGACGAACAGGAAGATAAGGAGGATAATGAAGAAGGAGCCAAAGGAAGACAGTATTCCAATGACCACGCCGCTGAGGGCGCTGTCCGGGTCTTCTGCCCGTAGGTGTGGCATTTTGGCGGCTCGTGGCTTGTTGTGGTATGTTTGTGCGTCCTTTGTCGATGGAACTCGATGTGTCTGGGAAGCGAAATGGCACTTGTATGCTTTCACGACTTCGTTGACGTTGTGTTGGTCCGAGAACGAAACATGCGTGACAGTGGCGAAAACGGTTTGAGAAGGAGGGGGACGGTGGAGAGAGGAGGCGTGGCGTCAAAAGATGGCGGTCTGCAATATTCGACAATACAGAACTGTCGCAGGGTCCGATGGCTTATCGATGGGAGGAAACGGAGATGAAGAAAGGATGGAGGAGGGAGGTCGTCGATGCGGCCGGCCGAAGGTTGAATTTAAAATTCGTAGCGTTTCGGCCGCCGGACCTTGCGGGACAAACAAAGAAGGGAGGCGAAATGTAGAGTCGACTTTTTGACGTGATGCAGTGTCGGAGAATCAAGAACTCGTCGTCAAAAGAAATCAGACTACAAAAAATGGCGAAAAGAAAAAGAAATAAAGTTCAAAGACGCCCACACGAAATGTAGTTCAGCGCAAATTTGGAATCGGGCTGTTGCGCTGCGGATGACTGAAGTGACGTACTCTGCTAGTATGGAACTAGGGACGAGCTGAGCAGGTTGAGGCAGCAGCGTTTTAATTGCGTAAAGTCCCTTGTGTGGCGGTTCGAGTGGGAAAGGCAGGGCTATCGAGGGGCGAGTCGAGACGAAAGTTTGAGATAAAGAGGGCGACGCAGTCGACAGGACGAGGACAGAGGACGGACAGGAAGAAGGAAAAGGAACTGAGCTTGAGGAGCCAAAAGTGAGAAGCAAAAGGAGAGACGACTCGCGTGAGAGATAAGCAAGACAAGTGGATGCAAGCACCGAACGAAGTAAAGCAGGGCTGACAAGGCGTAGAGTCAATCAGGAACGATGCAAGGGACACTGCAGAGAGCACGAGCAAAATGGCAGCAGAAGGACGAATAAGGAACAAAATAAAACAAAAAGGGGAGAAATTGAGGTGAAAACAATTGTCGAGATATTAGGAAAGCCCCCAAAGCCAAAAGAGGAGTTGGAGTGGGAAGGAAACGACGATCAAGGCATGGATGACGCAGGAATGGAAGGGCCACCTGGGGAACCGAAACAGAAAGAGCGAGCGAACCCAAAGCAAAAACAGGTGATGACTTTGCTGTGGGCGGAGAAGGAAAGAACGTTGGTCGCAGTGCAGCAAACTAGTGCTGGTATAACGTTGTAGTGTGCGGGCGGAAAGTCCAGACGACGCAAGAGGAGACAAAGTGATGGTGAAGCGACGACAACCATGGAGGAAGATGGAGGAAGGTACGTGGGCGGGCACACAGGCGACAGGTCGAGGAAGCGGCGACGCACGCCAAAAACAAGGACGACGGGCGGCGACGACTGAGTGACGGAAGGAGCTACACCAAAAGCGAGCAGGGAGGGTCAGACGGAACAGGTGGGCGGGTCCCAGTGCTTGGGTCAGGTGGGTGGCAGGCTCTGGTTGGCAGACGGTGGAAGTGGTCAGGCCGTTCTGGCCGCACTTTCCCTTTCAGATGCAGTGTGCTGCGTAATGCTGGACTCGCCCCGGCTCAGTCTGCCGGGGGCGCAAACCGCACTTACCTTCAGAGTAGGCAGTGCCAGACTCAAAGCGAGAAGGCCCCACTTTTCGCTTTTGCAGATGTTAGGGCCTTGGCGGGCCAGTACTGGAAACGGCGTTCATGCCACTGGAGCAGAGCATGACTAAAGCGGCGACGCCTGTAAAAGCATGCTGCAGTGATCGCCCAAGAGACTGCGACAGCCATTTCCACCACGTCAACATAGCATTGTCTCGAATTGAACGCCGTTGTCTACTGCGACGGAGAATACGTTCAAGCAACGATATTCGATCCGTTTACGCTCTGCTTTGCCACTGCCAGTGCTCTCTCGGCCGCATCTCACACGCCTCTCGCATAATAGGGGCCGGTTTGCGTTGCGTGGTCCCAAGTTTCAAGAGACGCGCAGGCCGTTTCAGCCGTGAGAGTCTGTGTTCTGAACACTGCAATTGGGGGCATGCGGACTCTGAAGGATGAATACAGGGACGGCACTAGGTATAATGCGACTAGTAAAATACGGAGCACGGGGTATTACGGCGTATAATGCGACCTCTTGAGACTCCTGACCGCTCTGACCTCTGACCATTCGGTAACCAAGCGATCGATTCCGCTTTGTGTCATGGAGCAAATACACTCAAAATACAAAGAACGGATGACGCCGTGAAAACCAGAGGACTGCTGTCCGTGTCGTCTTAACATAATTCGTTAAACACTATTTCGTAGGCGAGTAGAGTGCGTCTTGGTAGGCCCCAGCTACATTAAACCTTGAAAGCTGAAGAGCGCCGTGAACTGTAGAACGGGCACGGGGGTCACCGGGCGTCCATATCGTAGCACGACCCTTTGTTTGTTTGGATTTTGTGCGGCTTCCATTGTTCCGACTGCCGGGTTGTTCGAATTGTTTTTGCGGCACCCTTTCTTGGCAGGGTGGATTCGTATATTGGTCAAACGAAGGGATGCATTTCTTCCATCTCGATCTTCATTGCTCCTCATCGCAGGTCGTCAACTTACAGTCAATCTCCCACTATTGGGAAGTGAAATGAATGAGGGATAGTAGCTTCTACCAGACTCTGGCCCGTTTCCATTTCATGACGTATTCTTGGATTTCTCAAAACAAGTCTGTGGTGACGATCGTGAAAGCGGACTAGTTTTCCAATGCCATTTTTGCTTCACGTGGCTGTGAAGAGAATGAATACTGGGAAGAAAGAGGCGCAAGGCTCTATCATGCCAATTTTGTCTCTGTTAGTCCTGCTGCACTTTTTTTGAACAAGGGTGTTTCTCACAAGGATGTGGCTCATGCTCATATCCTGGCTGATGCTATTTTTACATAAAAAACATTAACACCAACAAAAAGAAAACGACATGTTTTTGAGACGCCCAAATCCGTTCATTAAGAAAGAAACGACAAAGCCCTAGACGTAGTAAGAAAATGGGGAATAAACATTGGAGACAGTGGACATATTTTAAACGGAAAAGGGTAGAAAGACGACGAAAACAAAATCCATATCTCAAAAAAGAAAGAAAATAGCCCACGGTAGGAAACGCCAGATAATGCAAATAACCAAAGACGGCCAACCGAGAAAGAAGAAAACAAATTACAACAGTATTTGCCGCGGTTGTAATCTCACAAATTCTCTGGCGGCGGTGCCGCTTTACCGGCATCGACAATAATCTGCTCGTCCAGCTTCTTGTCAATGTCCTCGCCGTGCTCGGCGCGCTTCCATGTGGTGATGCGGCCCTCGTTCATGTCAAAATCAAAGACGCGGATCTTGCGGTTGAACTCGCCGTAGCCGCCGTAGCCGCCAAACCCGGCGCCGCCGCCATAGCACATCCACAGGCGGGGCAGGTTGGTCTTGTCGTCGGTCGACAGCGCACAGTACTCGTTGACGTGGTCGTGGCCGCAGCTGACCATGACAACGCCTTCCTCGACAAGGGCGTCGCGGAAGTTGGAGTTGAAGACAGGGGCGGTGGGCGGCTCCTTCCAGTCGCCCTTGAAGTAGAGGGTGGCGTCGCGGTACTCGGGCAGCGGGATGTGGATAAAGGCCACGTTCATGTGGACATGCGTGTATTCGGCGTGGCTCTTTTTCAGGCCCTGGGCGGTGTTCTTGAACCAGTCGATCTGGCTCTGCTTGATCCAGTCGTAGCCGTGGTACTTGCGCTCGTCGGGCGAGTACGCGTGGGTGTCGAGGAGGTAGAGGGTGAGGGCAGAGTGCGACGAGCTGCCGCGGGCCAGCACTTCGACAACGTAGTTGCCGACGCCGTCCACGGTGTCGGGCCCGGCCTTGGAAAGCGAGTAGGGCAGCGTCTCGATCAGCGACATCTGGCTCGTGCGCGGTAGCGAGCCTTCGTCGTCGTGGTTACCGAAGATGGAGACGTAGGGGATCTTGTGCTTGATCAGAAGGCTGGCGTACTTGAAAATGGCTGACTGCGCGTCGGGCGCCGTCTCGCCGTTGACCTGGTCGCCGCTCAGCACGACAAGATCGGGCCGCTCGTCCTCGAGGATCCGCGCCACAAAGTCCAGCGTGCGCGGGTCTGCCTCGCACTTGCCGCCGTTGTACGTGTTGGGCACGGCGTCGCGGCAGTGGCCCACGTCCGTGCTCAGGTGCAGATCGGCCAGCTGCACAATCTTGAACTTGCCGTTGTCGTGGATGCGCGGCTGCGGTTTGGTCGCATCGTGCACGCCGCCTTTGCGTACCGTCATGTGCGCCGCCGGGACGCTAGAGCCACCATCCAGCAACAGGGGCGTGCCCTTGATGGCCCAGCCGTCGCGCGCCTCGACGGCATCGTCGCCGAAGAGCACGTCAATCGCCGTCACAGCGTTGTTGGTGTCGCCCACATGCTTCTTCTCGGTGCGTTTGATCCACAGGCCGGATCCGCGCGAGTCCCAGCGCTCCTCCTCCTGGCCCTTGACGCTGGCACCTGGGTCGAGGCGACCCACGGCCACGTCCAAGACCACCTTGTCGTTTGGCTCCAGGTCGGCCTCCTTCTTCCGCTTGACGTGGACGTAGGCGTGCGACATGCTCTTGCCGAGATACAGGTCCTTTTCAATGCGGTGCCACTGGTCGGAGTCGAGCTTGCAGGATGAAAAGACATTGAGGGAAGAGCATCGTGTGATGCGGATGTCGGTGACAACGAGGCCGTGGTGGTGCTGAGGCATGTACTCGTGGATGGCGCTGGGCAGCACGCGGTAGTTGCGGTCGACGAAGAAGAGGAGGATAAACGTGAAAATGCCAACTGCAGTCACCTGCAGAGCCGTACGGACCTGTGGCGGGGGAATGTTGAGTTAGTAGCTGGTTTTGCGAGAGCAGAGAACACACAAAAAAGAGAAAGCAGAGCGATCGTACAATCCGTCGTGCCATCGTTGCTGGCGGGCGGCGCGTCTGCCTTTTATGGTTTTGGATCGATGGAAAAGTCAAAGAGTCGGACGAAACGAGTATGTGGAGGGTGCTCAGACGTGAGATCGTGTCGTCGATTCGTTAGAGGTCGACGTTGTTTGTTCGTGATGCAAGTAAAAAACGATTGCAGAGGACGCTGACGAAAGTCGGGACGCCGTCATCATCTTCCCATGGGGGGCGTGCGTGGTAGATGGAACGTGTGCTGGGCCCTTTGCACGTCGTTCACGGGTTGTCCCTTCAGTCCAACTGGCAAGGTGTCGTTGTTTCGATGTGTCGTCGATGGATGGGGTCGAAGTCGCAGTGATGAACTGGGGTGGCGTCGTGAAAAGGAGACAGGGGATGCCAAGTCGGTGGTGTGGGCACGTGCTAGCCGCGTTCAGCGGGCTCAAGGCCTGATCGACACGCTGATTCTGTTAATTAGGGTAGAGTTCCCGAAGACAGATCTAGATCTGGTCCCAGTCATCGATTACTGAGAACAGCAGTGGCCAACAGGTTCACCTACATAGTCATTTCGATACGAGGAGAAATGTAAAATGCTAAGAAATTTTATCACATCCAAAGACCAAGAATGATAAGTAACATGACATCCTCAACAGACGGCTCTATAACAAATCCCATTCAGAGCATAATCCCTGGCGAAGCAGCAACTTCAGAGCAAAGAAGGTTTTTCCAGGTGCCCCAGGGTCCAGAGCTCTGGGGAAAGGCCCGCTAAGCCACAGGTGTATTAGTGCCGACGCATGACTGCCAAACTGACGAAAATGCAATTACAAGAAACTTTTGACGACACCTGGTTTGAGAGTCTAACGTGAAGTTTATGAAAATGCTTTTTTTAAAAAAGAAAAAAAAAAAGAAACGAAAGGAAGAAAAGAAAAGAAAAGAGAAGAAAAAGAAATTGAATGAAAGAATGAGATGAATAAATAAGTGATTGTACAAGCCGTCTTTATGTTGCAGATATTGTGTTGATCTTATGTAAAGTAACACAATGTTTTAGTTATTCAACTGTGTAGAGCGATCGAAAATAGACTGAGAAATTCAATCAGTCAGCTTATTTTATCAAGTAAGAGCTTATATGTAATGTTCAAGAAGCAATGGACGCGCAGGGAAAGCTTACGTTTCGCAGTAAGGACGGTTGTATTTAGTAACGTCGCGGCCCGTTTGGGTCTTAAATCGACTGTCCATGTATCGACGATATGTACATAACTGGAAACGGACGCTTTGTTTAAAATGAATGGGCTAAAGATGCAGCTTCTTTCTCATGGTAATCCTGTTTCGTCTGGATCCTCCTGTTTTTCTATCAGTTCAGCTAGTCTGTGGTCAAAAACCAACCAGTTTGAAGTTTTATGTCTTTGTATTGAACTGAACGCTTAATAATAATACCATCGAAATAATTTCCCAGAAGCAGGCTTGTCATGTTATATTCTTACATTTCTCTCATCTATAAGAAGCTCACATGTCAATAAACAGCGTGCGAATAGAGCATCCCAAATGCCTGTGCGCTCTTCCATTGGACAGTTTGACTAGAAATCAGCTTGTATCGAGTATTCACTCGCGTAGAATGGAGGTGATATCCATGCCCTAAAGTCCAGCATTGGACTTCCAGATTGTTTCCACATTGTCATTAGCATGGCCGGCTGAAGATAACCCAATGGAGCGAATCGGCGGCAGAGGTCCAGCTTTTGGACAAGTACGGTTCCTGGTCGCCCGTGATCATGAGAGGATGGTCATGAAATAGCCAGCGGAACATATGAGATGCTGGGAATGTGATGCTTCCATTCTTTTGGTTGAGAAAAAGCGGACAGTCGAAACGCTGGTTTGGCTAGAAAGGAAGGGAAAAAAGTACGGGGACGGAAAAAATGATAAAGACATGTCGTAGTTAGCCACCTGTCTTGAAGCCAAGCCATATCCAGCCAGCCTCTTTCTGCTTGGCTTAAGGGGAAACAAAACTAACGACGGAGAACAATACAGAACGACGACTAAAAGCGATCAATGACCTCCAAGGGCGCTTGGCGTAGCCCTACCGGGAGGCGCCTTTTGATCTTTGCGTACGCCACGACGAGGGATGAGAGACTGTGAGAGACCAAGCGAGAAGAAAAAAGGGGGGTGGATGAAGGCGGAAAAGCAAAAGAGCGAATCGTTTTGGAGAATTGGACTAGCATCGTCAAGCCGAGGGGAGCGAACGAGCAGCGCCATGTGCGACAGTTTCCGAGATAGGACAAGGTCACTGCGTCTGAAAAGGGGCCATCAGGAAGGCTGGAGCGCTTAATGGACCAAAAATGTTGTGAATCCCCGCCTGTGGCCGGATAGAGGAAGCCGCAAACAAGATGCCGCAAGTTCTTGGCGTAAATCAGTCAGTTTCTCAACCAATTTGGTGAGCTACAATCTATTGATAAGAAATAGCTCATGATACGGGAAAAACGCAGTACCATACACCGTGGATTGCGGCCGTTTAAGAGCTGGGCTGAGCTGAGAAAATAGACAGGAACAGGATTGGAAGCAGATTGGAAATGGATGGAAAAGGATTCTGCATGTCTCGCACCAATCCGCAAACTCGGATCCCGAGAGACAGGGAAAGGGGTGTGAAGTGTGAGCTTTTAGACGTCGTTCCAATATAGTCACAAGACACGGGCCATCGTTGCCAATGTCATGCTGATATTGGACGACAAAAATTGGTTGTTGTCAACATTGCTTCATGACTGGACAAATGAAAAACCGACGAGACCGAAAGAGGAGCACGTGTAGACAAAACAGCCGTTTGGTGGCCCCCAAAGAGCAAAGACGCAAGGCGAGTGGTTGTCCTCAAAAGGTGGTTTGAAAGTGGGTGGCATAAGCTGCAGTTTTCGAGCATCGTCGTTTTCTTAATTTTGTTGCCACCGACGTGCCCCATACGGCACCGTTTTAGACGGGGCATGTATGGCACGATGCTTGTTCTTTCTTTGCTTGTCTCCACCACTGAATAAACATCAAGGAGACACGGCAGAAAAGGTGACGAATAGTGCAAAGACGGCCGGGCAACCGACGTTGGAGATGTGTGAATGGCTGAGTGCGTGTCCTCTCCAGTATTGGAAAATCCGTTCTGATAGCCAGCTATAGTACAACATACAATGCGGCGTAATATCAAAGGCAGAACCAAAGGCCAGAGCCTTTGTCGATCACGCTATCGGAACGACACTCGCCTATTTGTCTGGACGCCATCTCTCGTGGAGAAAATCACCTCCACCGAAGTCTGAAGAACCCAGAAAACGATCGTTGGTGGTTGCAACGGCTACCCAATCGCAGAAGACAGACCCCTGTCAGTCAAATATGGGGACTGAGGAAGAACAGACAATGGCAGGTCGTTTATCCTGACAATGCAGGGGTGTCGTTAACCAGGAGGGGAAAGAGACCGGGTTGAAAAGCAACAAGCAAGGAAAGAATGAAAGATAAACGCATATCCAAACGAGTTGTAAACTCTGACCTCTGACCATGTTGGTGGCTTATTACCAACAATACCAGAAACGCCTGCATCGATCTCGGAGAGGGCGAGATGACTCTCACTTCTGCCAGTCGGTTTCCCGCGCCTTATCTTTCGCCTCTTTGCTAACACGTAACAGTGCAATTGTCTTTGCCTCATTTAGCAGCCTCACTTCAATGCCCGTGGCGAAGTGCATCTAGTCAAGTCGTAGGAAGGGGGAAAGAGACGCCTACCGGGCAGACGCGCATCCCAACCACGCATCCTGGGCAGCAGTATGCAGGGCAAAAACACAAACTGCAAGCCAAACCTTGAGATTTGTGCTATATATAAACGATCGCAAAACAGGCAGTAACACAACCAGAAACTTTCGGGCTATCCGTTTGGTTCCCAGACTATGCACAAAGCAAAATGCGCCCTGCATGCAAAAAATCTGGGAGCAATCTCTGTTCAGGCTGCATATCTGTGCATGCATAATGCTGGTTTGCATGCTGGGGAGAGCCAGGCATGGTGGCCTGTGTGCTGGCCGGAGGCAGCCTCCTGCAGCTTGCAAAAATAACTGTAACAGGCTTTGGTTGGACCTAGGTTGCGAAAAGTAGGATTCATCCTCCTGCCGTCTTTTGGTCAGGAGTCTCGCTTCCCAGCGTGTCGGGTCGCATATCAGGGCCGCTGTCATCTGACGACAAATTGCCATCGCTCTTGCAAAGGCAGATGATCGTCTTGCAGTTGCCAACGCATCAGGACAGGCATGCATCTGCTATTTTTGCGTCTTCTATCAGCCTTCCTCTCAGCTGGCTTTGCAAGGCAGACTGTTGCGACTACTCCGTTAAAATATCTGTGACGCTGAAATATGACGTCGGTGGTGCAAAGTTCAAAGATGAGCATGTCAAAGAGCTTGTTGACGAGCCCAACATGTTGCGCACGCAGCTCTGGATTCATTTTTTTCGTCGTTGCGCACCTGACTCAACTTAACTTTCTGCTTTTCGTAGACCGCCTCGATAAACGCTCACCGCTCCGCATGTGCAACCCGGAGAGCGTCTCATCTTTCTATATTTCCGTCTCGGCCTCTATGCTTCTGTATCGAGATATCCGAATATCCTTGTGCAAATTTTGTTTGTGCAAACCCCTGTTGTAAATGTAAAGGCAACCCCGGGGTTTGCGCAACCCACTGTTGTAGCTCGCAAAGTCTAGGAGACGTAACTCTGCGAGACGGAATCGAGTAATCGTCTTTTCGTCCCGTTTAGGGACCGCAGAGGAGGGTGTACGACTGAGACCTTCCGAATATCGAGCCGTTCGTGTGACCCGATGCTGCCTTTCACGTTACATCCAAGGTTAGAAATAAACTTTTGAACCTGTGAGGGTGTGGTGATGAGAGGGGGTTTCCAGTAGGCACATGCCAGGGTGAGGAGAAGAGAGAGAATATGGAGAATGCAGAGAGGCATCTCGAAAGCCGGATTCACACCAAGTGGGGTCACTCCCGTGATTGGTTCAAAATAAGAGATTTTTGGCAACAACACAGCCAATGAAAAATCCTGCTGTGAAGGAGCGAGAAGAGACTGGTGATTCCCTCCATCCCGTTCGGCCCCATGTGGCTCTCATGGACGAATCACAAGAGAAGGAGCATGGGTTCTTTCTGGTGCTCGTCTTGGAGGGGCAACTGGTAGGAACAGGGGGGCCGGCGACGAAAGGAAACGACGACCGCGTGTCTTCCCCGAGCGTGGCCGCACACAAAATCGATGGCAGGAGCGAAAGAAAGAAGAAAATATTTACTGACAGACGTTGAGACATACATACGGAGAACACGCAAACTGACCACAAACAGAAACAGGCCGTTGGTCACTAGTCACCGCCCCGGCTCCCGCGGGCCTTTCCTTTGGCCATAGTCGCTTTGGTTAGTCTGTTGAGTCGACAGCTAGCGGCTAGCCATGCAAATCAGTGGATAAAGTAGACTAGATCGCCATGAAGTGAAGACGAACATGGCGACAAAGACGACGAGAGAGGAGCCTTGAACTCAGGTGCCATCCACAGAAATGAGTGTCAGTGAGTCTCCTTCATACTTGGAAGACACCCTCTTGCCCAACCTCGTGGCCAAGCAGCCCTCGGCTTTTGTGAAGTGAGACATGCAGCGTTGCGTGCACCGTTCCGGAGACACACAAAATAATATCACACCCAGGTGTTCGCTGCAGTTCCGTCAAAACGTCAATCATCTCACTTTGTGTTCCAATAAGCATACAATCACAAAACATCAGCGGATAGCAGCGCCTGGAGCAAGCTGAAGAAGTGCTGCGTTGGCACGCAACTCGCCAACGAGACATCTGTCGAGGTCTTGTTCTTCCTCAGGCCCACTAGCTTTAGGGTTTCAGGCGCTTCTTAGCCTGGCATTGCCGGGTTAGCGCGCTTGACCGATGACTTTTTGACCTGGCACGCTTGTGTCCTCGCGTACTTAGCGGCCCCTCTCGCGACCCTCTTCCCTCTGTAAAGTGGGGTACCTGGGTCACCACTTTGAACTCACGATCAACATCTGGTCAGACCGCCCGCGCCTACCCGCCGCTTCAATACTGAACGCACGCGCACCGCGCAGACCAGCCAGATCTGTGTTGGCTCCTTCCTCCGTTGCGAGCACCCGTAATTGTATATCTCTAGATTCTGTGCTTTCATCCCTCATTACGGTGCTCCTTCCTGGCGGGGGTTCTTGGCTCAATGACGGGGGAAGGAACTGCCAGCCACTGACTCCTTTCTACAAAAGGCAACACCGCTTCTGACAGTTACTCGCAGAAAATGGAGAAGCAAAACCTCCATCCCTGAATCGCTCCTATTAATATGCATTCGCGATGCACCTACTAAGGAGAACGAGAGTCCTGCGGGCCATCAAAGTCGCTGCGAAATATAGGTGTCGTTCACGCCCCTCACGCGCGTTCTGGGGTCTGCTGCTCGCGCTTGCCCGTTTTCCTAGCTTTCACATCCTGCTGCTGCTCCTGCTCTAAACCAGACGTCCCGATCAACCCCAGACCGGGCAGGTGCGATTGGGCGGTTGAGCAGCTCACTGTGGCCAATGGCAATCGCGTATCCAGTATTTCGCCTCCCATAGGACGTCGTCGTATGCAAAAGCCAGGGCGCAGCTTTTGTCCACTGCGGAAAAGAGGGGGCAGCAAGCACAGCGGCTCCCTAGGAGGAAAACGAAAATATGATAGGTTTTCTACAAAAAGTAAAAGGTTGAATGATTAAGTGCTGCCCGCAGACTCACTGGACGAGGAGGCAAAAGTGGGCGCGATGACCATTTACATGGAAAGAGCAACCAAGGCTCTGTATCCACCTAGCAAGAGCTGCTGCACCAAGGCTCCCTCACCATCTCCTCCCCAAATGGTTTCGTTTCCACCACTCGACATCCTTCTTACTCGTCTCCGCCTCTACGCCTTTCTGCTCTTGGTTTTTTCTGCCGCACACTCTCCACCACTCCATCTAGCATGCACCCCTGCTTTAGATACCCGTCAGTCCTTCAGTCACTGGCCCCGTCCAAAACATGGACGGGCAAAGAAGGCTACGCTATTTCGATTCCTCAAAGTTCCTCGTTACTCCGGGTCGAATTCTGCATTCTTTCCGGCCCACCGATCAACTGCAGAGATTATGCACATGACAGCTTTGGCTGGTGACGGGTTGTAGCAAGCCGGTCGAAAGCCTTGCCGTGGACAAGCAGGGCGTGCAGCAAAAAAAATGTTGAAAAGAAAAGAAATCAGCCTCCAAAGAGGAAAATTAGAGCCCAAAGAGGGAGCCGCCACACTGCAGGTTTTTTCTGCAACTTACCTCCGTATGACGGCGGGATCGCCATGGCTGGCGGTCCAGTTCTGAGTGCTCCCAGGTACCTGCACCCTGTCTATCTGCATTCGCCTCCGCGTGGAGGGGTGTGGCCAAACGAAGAAAAGAGAAAACACAACAAAGCATCCAAGCCAAAATGGTGGGAGGCACACACATGCTTGAGGTGCCACCCCGTTTGAGATTCCCATCTGGTCCTTGTCCATCATTTTGACTGCCTCTTCTGTTGCTCTTTACTGCTGGGTTGGTTTTCTTTTTTATTTATTTCTTTCCTCTTTTTATATGCCAGTCTTTCCCTTCATCCTGCTCCTTTGCCTATTCCTTTCGAGTCGACACCCTCTTACTGATTTCACGCCCCCTCCATATCCAGTGTTCAACTGCCTTTGCCCCCTCCACCTCACAATGCGTCTCTTGGTCGATGTACCCCTGTTGACTGGATATGAATAAAAGACACTTTGAAGACGCTCCGAACTCAAAGAAAGATATATATGTATATACTGTTGAGCTGTCCGCCTCTTCAAGCTCCCGCGACCTACTTTGTCTTGCTGTCTCTTGTCTCTCTTACTTTTATATCCCGTTTCTTGACTCGTGAATTTTAGATACCGACCTCATTGTCCTCGTCCATCTGTGTTTTGCCCGTTCAAGATGCTCGGATGGCACCGATCTCACCTAGTAAGTTTTCGAAGCAGCTCCTTTCACACGCCAACGCCGGCCGAGTTTCTGTTCCATTTTGCTTTTTATTTCAACTCTACGCCACATTGAGCCTTGTTCAGGAGACAATAGCTAACGGTTCTTCATCGACGCAGACTCACTAGATCGGCTCAATACACCCTCCCACACCACTTAACTACCCACCATCACTCCGTCACCTATTTCCATTTCCTCCGTCACATCCCCTACCCAGATATTTCTGTCACCTCTAGTGCTGCCCCGGTTCATTTCCCCTGGAATACTGTTGCTAAATTCTGGCCTGTCACTTTTTTAACCCTGCCATTGTTTTTCTTCTTCTTTTTGTCTCATTTCGTCACACTTTTCTCCTATCTCAGTACATACTTCTATTCCGCTTCTTGTCTCTCATCGCTACTTCATGGACAATTTCTCGGCCTAGTCGTATCGTCGGCATTTATTTTCCTTTCTCTTTTTTCAACTCTGTTTCCTTCCAAGGCTGGAGCCTCTTATATTCAAACCCAATCTATTGTTTAATATCCCTTTTCTTTCACCATATTTCACCCGCCTGTTCTCCCACCATTTCATCTTATATCACGCTTGCCGGACAGCGTCGACTTTTTATGGGGGCAAGAGTGGCATCCTGTGCACCGCTGCTCTACTGGCAAAGGTTCGTGCCTCCATCCTAACCATCATTTTGATTATTGGTATCGCGTGCTGACTCCCACGCCTTTCGGTCTGTTAATAGCCCATGTACCAACCCTCATACCATGCTTGTGGTATGATAGCTGGGGACAGAGAGAGACAGAATATTACCTGGCTTTGCCGCATCGACACTGATGGGGTTTGCTTGTGAATATTTACTAGACCATGGCGTCCCTCAGACCTGGTTTGAGAACCCCTCAGGGACAAAGTGACCGGACAAGATTACCGCGGGGAACAGAGAACGGCCTCGCTCCGCAGGACGCCTCCCGGACTCGCCCATCACTACACCATGACCAAGGCAACTCCCGCAGACTCGCATCAACCGGATCGTCTACGATTCCGTATTTATCATCACTGCCCACCGCCCGTCCGAACCTCGCCAGCAGAACTCCTCAAACGAATGCCGGACCACCAGCAGCCGCTTCAGCACCACGACGGCCCTCGAACCCACGACAAAAGAGTCAGTCGCGCCCACCGTTGACACACCAGTCCCAGTCATGGGGCACATCGATGGTTACCCCGAGCTCGAGCAGGTCTATCCCAAACGCTGTACAGTCGTCAACCTCGGAGCCACAGTCCCAGCGGAATGCACCTAGTAGCTCGGCACAGACACCTTCTATAAATTTGTCCAGCGCTCGCTCACGCAACGACTCAACAGGCACGAGCTCCTCGTCTTCGACAGCATGGTCACAGACACCGCTTGACCTGGACCGTGGCTTGACAGAAAGCCCAGCTGAGATCCGTGTGGCCCAGAAAGGAGAGGTGACCAGCGCCCACTCAGTCACCATTTACCCGGAGCTGGATCGTTACCGTGATGTTGACATTTCGCCGTCCACGTCTGATAAGTATGGCTCAAAACACCCCGACATCTTGTTCCGGCTGGCCACAGAAGGGTTTCCTCCGCCACCAACAGCCTACTTCTCGGGTACGAGCAGTTTAACAAGCGGTATGAGCGGAAGCCCTTCGACGCGCTTTTCCGAGTCGCCAGGGCCGGGCCCCTACAGCCGCGACACAACGCCCACGTCGATCTCATCTCATTCCCCGGGTTTGATGTCTTCGGTGCGCATGCCAACTGCGCCACGGTCGCGGCAACCAGCTCGGGGGTGGACAGGAAGTTTTAGCAAGGAAGTACCGAATGGAAACGGGACGAATGCATCTACTACTCCCACTCAGACTCTTGCTGCCATTCGGGAGTCTCTTAATTCGTCCTCTTCATCATCGAATGGCACAGTACGTGGAGGCGACAAAAAAGTGAAAGCCAAAAAGAAGAGAATGTCACCGGTACCACCAAGTCCGCCGCCGCGGAAATCATCACAGAAATTCAAACAGTCTGATGACGAGAAGGAAAGGAGCTCGCCTATGAAGCAACGCACACAGCGCACGCAGCAAACTCGACGCTCACCGACGCAGGTAGACCAAACAAGAGGGTCTGCACGCGCAGCCCAACCTCTGACACCACAGAAAACGGCCACTAAAAGCGACGTGCGTGGTTCATCCGCAATAGAGGCCCCTAATCAACGGCATCGAACAGTCGCATCGCCTGCACAGTCGACTCGCCAACAACAAACGCCACCAGCTCGCCCTAGCCGAGATGGTACGCCCGACCTGTCGCAACTTGACTTCTCCGTGCCTGTCATTCAGAGCAACCTGGACTACGCTCCTTCGCCCGATCCTGTCGGCGACGTCCATCTACCGGCCTCGGCACCGCCTCCAGCATCTGCAAATGTCGCTCACCAACAGCGATTTTTGTACGACCAGCACCAACAACGACCAGGATCATCCTCACATTCACACCAACCTGTCCGACCTCAAGATACCACGGTCCGGTCACCTGCCACTCTCCATCCTGCCGGGTCCTCACAATCTCAGGCAGTCGAGTTAACCAGAGCTGTTTCAGCCTCCCCTGGCCCTACCATGTCTTCACAGTCGTCACGGGCAGATTCACGTCAGGGTCGAGTACAAGCGCAAGCAGACGTGCCGGGTCATACTACTAAAGAGCCTGGTGCCAGGCTGACCCGCACTCCTAGCCCAAACGTCTCGACGTTCCGTACAAGGTTTCCACTGTTTGGGCGCCGAACCAAGACGGCCCCGCCGGTTGAGAGTAGTGCATCCGCTGCTGCTTCTGACAAGAACGAGGGCGGAACCACGCGAAAGGGTCCTGCAGCTGGCACGGGGCACGAGGGTTATGGTAGACTGGGATCCGGCCGCCGCAGAAGCAGCAGTGTCAGTACCTTTCTCCGTGGCACCGGGTCGTCTCAGGAAAGTCTTGCGACCAGTCCCCAGTTTCAGGACCCCTTCCTCCGCGACCGACTCAGTCCAGTTGTGATTGCCGGGGGCGAGATCATTGAGAACCACAACATTGGCTCCGAGCTGTCTCAGACCACCAGCAACACAAGCGCAAATAGCGTGGGTTCAGGCACCGCTCCCGCTCCTCTTCCTACTGGGTATCGTCGTCCAAGCACCGACTCGCGGGCCGACTCGGTCTCGTCACGCGAAGATCGTCTGTCTCTCTGGCCTTCGGCCATACCTCGTGGATCGCGCCAAATGTCCCCTTCCCCTTTCGGCTTCCACAACAACTCTCACGGCGGTCGTCGACCTTCTGATAGCAGCGACTCTGAAGCCGTGATGAAATCGACTCTTGCCTTTCGTCGTTCCGTTCAACGCCTACGATCGCCTGACCGTGCACAGGTCCGTGTGCCACGGCCCATTGTTGTAAACCAACAAAACGGCCTCGTTCCATCGTCCATGACCAGCGCGGACATGTCCATCATGACCGACGACTCTATATTGGAGGCCGGGCCCAATACTGGTGCCAGCACTGGCCGCGGCCGCAAGGGCTCCTCAGGTCCCAACGAGAAGCCGCCGACAGTGACCAAAAAACTCACAAAGCGGGCAAGATCGCCGCGCAAATGGAACCTGTTCGGCCGCTCTCAGAGCCAGCCAGCGACTTCCAAAAAGGCTCTTCAGTCAACCTCAACCTTGGCTGTTACCGTGGAGGCCGCTACTGTACCGGCTGAAAAGAAGAAACCAGTTGCGTTCTACGCCATGATCGACTCGTCCGAACAGGAAGATTACGATATGGATGTCGAAGACATTCTTCGCGAAGCGCGAGCTCTCGGTAACCCTACTATGTCCGCTCAGTTCGGCAGCCGAGACAGACGTCCATCCATTGAGCAGACAGTCTTTGGAACTGGCGGACCGCCCGGGCAGCTGCCGCGGCTCCAGCCTACGCGTGCCCGGGCACCACCCCCTCCGTCACCTGCACTTTCGCATAGGTCGCAACATCAGCAAGAACAGCAACAACATCCTGCCGAGCCTGCAGTATCAGCACAAGAGCAGCAGCAACAACGCCAGCAACACCGGTCAGATAACGACCAGTCTCCCGTGAAGTCTCACACAAGATTGCAGCTTTCTCGAACACCTACTGGCCCTGTCGTCCGAGAAGTGCCTCTTGAAGCAACGCCTCAAGACGCGGGTGAGAATGCCACGATATCCCCACCGCCTGCGCAATACCAGGGCCGGCCAAGTAGACTTCCACAAGTTGGACGCATTCCTAAGGTAGTGAGCATTCGGCCCGAGCAAACGTCGCCAAAAAGCTTCTCACGGCCCTTTAATCGCGTAAGCATGCAAGATCCCTCATCGCTGGCCCCGCTGCTGAAAAGGTTGGATACAAACTCCATCGCCAAGGGTCCTTCCCCACCCAAATCAAGTACACCCGATCTCTTACAAGATGGATCGACTGCGACGGGAAGCTCCGCAGACCCCGCGACTCTCCGTTTCCGCCATTCACGAAATCTATCCCCAGATGCAGAGCCCATCGATCCAGGAAACGAGTTTTTTAGCCTCTCTGCCCGAAAGGATTCTCAAACCACGTCTTGCACAAGCAGCTCCGGTCTTCTCAGCTTTGCTGATGCCACAGCTGTCGTTCCGGATCCGGGCGCACCGCTCGCCGAAGACGAGATTTGGGACGAATACAATGATCTTCTTGGAGAGGAGGCAGGCAAGGTACCCCAGTCTGCAACCTCTTCTCAGGGCATGCCCTTCTATCTGGAAGTGTCGCCCATGAAAGAGTTTCTAGCTGCGCCGGGTGCCGTCGTGGGAAAGGCCAAGCGACTTGATCAACGAATGGTCGCTCCACTCGAGTCACCTACTATCGCTGCCAACCTCCGCCCCAAGCGAAGCACTGGCGATGCTACTGCTACTGCTACTGCCAAATCAAGCCGACCACCAGTTGCTTCAAGCATCTACTCTGTCAACAGCCCGACCAGGCTCTTGGACCAATCGGCCGATAGTCTAAGAGACTCAACTGTTTCCCAGCCTCCCCCAACGCCTTTCTCGGTCACCGACTTTGTTTCTGGGTATGGACACCGGAACAATAGTGGCATTGCAGCAAAAAAACAGCCAGCTGGTGCCTCGTCGCAGCGAAGCAGCGCCTCCTCTCAAAGGAGCTCCAAGAACAAAACACGGGTCTCGGACAGCAGCGTCTACAGTCAAGTTTCCGAAGACAACTCACCCATTTCTCAAGTCAACCTCCGAGTAGGTTCTATGACGGTCAGCAAATGGCTCACATTTGGCCACGTGCTTTTCAGTCCTGCCCGCGACGATATGGTCAAAGTTGCCAGTCCCCCCAATGGCCACTCTGTGCTTGTCATTGACGGACTCGGAAACGACGATTGGTCGTTTTATGCCGCCGAGACGTACCCTGCAGCGACGTTTTTCAACCTGTCGCCGCGCGCGCCTCTGCCTGTTGACCAGAAAGCCGGTGCCACTGCCTTCCCCCTGAGTCCGCCCAATCACCACCAGATCCAGTACACGTCCCACGCGGACAAGCTGCCTTTTGGCTCAGAGCTCTTCACTACCGTTGTTTTCCGCTTCCCGGCCGCCGGCCCTGAAAGTTATTACAAGAATATTGTCAACGAGGCTCGCCGCGTCTTGAAGCCCGGCGGCTACCTGGAGCTATCGATTTTGGATGTTGATCTCAACAACATGGGGCCTCGCACACGACGTGCTATTCGCCGGCTCAAGGAGCAGGTTCACAGCCACACGCCAGATATGCATCTGGGCTCCGCTGCGGACGCCATTGTGCGTCTTCTCGGCAAGCGGGGCTTTACGGACATCAAGTCCTGTCGCGTCGGGATCCCTGTCGCCAGCGCCATTCAACGGCCAAAGAGCGACCTAGTGGCTGATGGCGATGCAAAGCATGCGCCGGTCGGTGCGACGGCCAAGCCTCCGAAGGACCAGCGCAGCCTTGCCGAGATGATCAATGACGAAAGCCCCGTTGCCGACGAGAACATCACGAACACGGTCGCGCGGGTGGGCCGTTGGTGGCACAGCCGGTGCTATGGCGATGCTGCTCTTGAAGCTTCACAACGTTCAGCGCCAAACACAACGGGCAGCAGCGACATGTGGATGGACCGCGCGCTGTTAGCCGAGTGTGAGGGGTGGGGGACTAACCTCAAGCTCATGGTGTGCTATGCCCGCGTACCCGACATGAAGCGTATGGCGAGCATCTAATAAGCCATCCAGTCGACTGCAATGATTGATTTTCTTTTATATCATTTTGTGTTTCTCATATTATCATCTCAATGTTCCACGACAACAACGGACGGCATTTACAACAGTTAAAAAACACATTAGGCGCAAGCCTCTGGCATACTTTGTCATTTCCTCTTCGAATTTCCAGACTGCATAACTTTTTTACTATTCAGAAGAAACAGCTCATCAAAGAAATAAAGCAATGCTTCCGGTTGATACAGAACGGCAGCTTGCAACCCCTCTCTGGCTTCACAGGGCCTCGCAACGAGGTTCAGAGGGTCTCTGTTTTTCACATATTCGGATTCTTTTCTCGCATATTTGGATATATTGGGATGCGCAGCAATAAAGCCAGCCCCTACCTAACTTTAATGCCCTTTTTTCCCATCACACTTGTCTCTCCTCTGGCCTTTGTTTGTTTGTTTTTCATGTGCTTTTCCTCATTGTTTGCGAGCAAGCGTGTCTGATTTGCGGTTCCTTGATTTTTTGTGTCGTGTGCTTTCTGAATCAATGCTGGACCATTGTGGCGGTGCCTTTCCTTTTCTCTTGCGATGAAGGCAACACAGTGGGCGAGAACCAGTCTTGGGTTGTACTTTTGACTCTTATCCCGTTTTTCTCTTTTTTTTACAGTTGTTTCGTGACCTATCCTTGAACGATCCGTCTAGCGAGACTTATTTAGAGATACCCTCTGCGTGACGTATTTATTTATAGGAAATGAAGATCATGCTTTGAATCAATAGTGCCTTTTTCATACTTCTTTCGTCCAACTCCTTGTGATTTGTTTTGTTAAAAATATAAATAAATATACGAATATTTCGATGGATAAAAGCTTANTTTTTTTTAAAAAAAAATCGCAGTTATCATACAAAGTAGGGTTTAGAAATGGAAATCAAATTGGCGACGAATACCAACCGACATAAGTCTCAGCTCCGACATCATGCTCTATTCAAACGGCAATATGTTTCCATAGAGGTGAGGTTACTTGTGTTCCTTTCGCCATCAAAAGCGTGCAGAAAAGTCTACATGCCGCTGTAAAAAACATCCAATTTACATTCTTTTATTAGTAAACCACATTTCCCAGCTGCATCTCCAACCACAAGAGGCATGTCGCCTTCCGGGTACAATAATACCGCGTTTTAAAGAGAAATAGCTTTTTCTGCTGTGCTTGGAAAAATACCAGACTTTTTTACTTTAGCTTCCACCGACTGGCACAATAACCGCTGTTTCTTGCAAATGACCAATGGAAACAATGAAATAAAATAAATAAGCAGACATCGCAGATCCAAAACTACAATAGACGTAGATAAAAAGACAAGACACTTGGAGAGAAAGTTGAGAGAAGAGAGACATATGAGGTGAAATAAGACCAATGGGGAAGGCAAGAAGACAACTATAAGCCGAACCGCTTTGCGCGCTCCTCAGCCTTCTTCTTCTCCGCCGGATCCGAAAGGAAGTTGAGACCCTTCTGGCCCCGCTGGTTGCCGCCACCGGCGTTGCTGTTGTTGTGTCTCCGGTCGATGTTGCGATTGCGGTTGTTGTTGTTGTTATTATTGTTGTTGCGGTTATCGTTGCGGTTGCCGCCGTGGCGCCGGTCGGGCGTCGACCGTTTCTTGTCTCTCCGGTCGCCGTCGCCGCCGCCACGACCGCGCTTCAGAGGTCGGTCAGGCAGCGCCGTGTCCAGGCTCGACAGGATCGTCTTTCTGGCATCTTCGACCTCCTTGTTTTTGGCAGCGGCGGCCGGGTCGATGCCAAACCGTGCAGCACGTGCCGCCGCCTTTTTGGCGTCCTCGTCCTCGTCCTCGCCCGCCTTGGTCTCGTCGGCGGCGGCAGGGGTGATACCGAAGCGCTTGGCGCGTGCCTCGCGACGGCGCAGCTCCTCGTCAATGTCAATGGTCGAAGCAACCGGCGCGGTAACCGGCTCTTCGGCGGCAGCGGCGGTCTCTTCGGTAGTAGCAGCAGCAGCGGGAGCGGCCGCCGGCGCAGGTGCAGGTGCCGCTGCGGCGGGAGCGTCTTTGGCGGCGGCGGCAGCTGGGGGGGCGGCTGCCGGTGCGGGCTCCGCGGGCTTCTCGTCGTCCCAGTCAATCTCGTCCTCGTTGCCTGTTGAGACTATGTCAGTATTATGTCGCTTTGGGAGTTGAGTCTGCCGTCCTGTCGCGCCATGTCTGTCTTCCCGTTGCAACGTACTTTTCGCCTCGGGCTTGCTGGCGGCGGCGTCGTTCTCCTGCAGACGCGAGACAAGGTCGGCCTTCTTGCCGCTCAGTGGCAGGCCGCGGTCGGACAGCAGCTTCTTCAGCTCGTCGACCTTAAGGGAGGCGTAGTCTGTCATGTCGTCGGTGGTCGATGTGTGGCGGAGAGGTGATGCGATCCTGATGCGCGAAAGGGCGGGTTTATTTGGGCGCACAAAGTCGCCGAAAGTCGCAAACGGGCGTGTCAACAAAGGTGCCTGTGCAGCAGTAGACGGACGGCAAAGAAAGGGAGGACTGTTTGCGATTGTTGGCACGCAAAAGGTCGTGACGAAAGTGCGTTTTTGGCAAGGAGCTTTTCGCAAGGGGCACAGGTACATTGAAAGACGCGACGCCTTGCTGGGAAAGCACGGATGTGTGTGCTGCTCCATTCAGCCATTAGCATGAATGGAGCCTAGGCCAGGCCAGGTCTGGCCTTGTCATCCAACCCAGGAACCAGGTCCCGTGACGAAGGCTGGCGGTTAATTTGTGGCTGACGACATAGATTCAAGCCACAATTTGCGCCATAGCAGTGCAAATAGCCGCCAATTGAACATTGGAGCTCCCGTCTTTTTTCTAAACGTTCTACTTGAATCGTAAAACGGCGACGAAATACCATAGTTAAGCATGATCAGACGGCGTACTGGGAAGAATTAGAGTCTATTGGTTCCTATTTAGCTAATTCCTTCGTTTTGAGTTTGTCCTTGATTGATGCTTTATGGTCAAGTGAAGTGTCAGTTTGGTTGGGCGCGAGAGAAATTGGGTGTTAAAGTGTACGGTGAGTTTAGGCGTTCCTATTTGGTACCCTTTACACGGTGTCATCGCGGGCGTCCAATACAACACTCGACCCCAAAGGTGCCAAAACCCCACACCTCTCTCCGGGCTGGACCTCGGCAGCGACAGCCAACTGTGCTCATTCTCACTAGTCAACGCTAAGAGATCTGGCGATGCTCCAAAAGTGACACTGCAACTCAGTGGGCCGAAGCGGGGATTTAGTGCAATTGTGCAGGGGCTCTTGCTCCTCTTGCTTGGCTTGGACGAAGGCCGCGGTTCCTGTCTGGAACTGACGTCTGACCTGACCTCCCTTCGTCCTTCTTTAACTGTTCTTATTCTCGCCCTCTTCCTCTTTCTTTTTGTTCCGTCCTCCCTCCCTGGCCTGTTCTGTCTGTTTGTTCCTCCCAATCATCCCATTCACATCTTCTGTCCCTTGTCTTGCACCACACATCCTTCAACATGTCCGCGAAAATTCCGACCATTGTGAGTACCGCAGCCCTCCGAACGCCGATTGCCGAGGCTTCGGAACTCGAATTTCGAAACCACGATGCTAACACTTTGGCTCTCCTGTTAGGCTGCCAACCGCGTCTCCGACAAGGCGAAGCAAGCGCTGGACACTATTGCCAAGTTTGTACAGGAGGAATGCATTCCGTAAGCCCTTGGCCCCCGGTACCAGAGCGACGGAGAAACACAGAGACCGAGACATGCTGAGATACGAGGACGCATGCTAACAGCACAGCGCGGATGCTGTCTTTGATGCACAGGTCGGCTTCGGTGACGCCCGCTGGGAGGGCCACCCGCAGATTATCGAGGAGCTCAAGAAGAAGGCACAGAAGCTTGGCCTGTGGAACCTGTTCCTGCCCAAGGCCCACTACAAGGAGAGCCCCGGCTTCTCCAACCTCGAGTATGGCCTGATGGCAGAATGGATGGGCCGCTCGCGCACCGCCTCCGAGGCGTGCAACTGCGCCGCCCCCGACACCGGCAACATGGAGGTGTTGGCCCGCTACGGCAACGACGCCCAGAAGGAGCAGTGGCTGCGACCGCTGATGGAGGGCAAGATCCGGTCGGCCTTCCTCATGACGGAGCCCCAGGTGGCCTCGTCGGATGCGCGCAACATCAAGATGGAGATCCGCCGCGAGGGCAACGAGTACGTGCTCAACGGCCAGAAGTGGTGGTCGAGCGGCGCCGGCGACCCGCGCTGCGCCATCTACATTGTCATGGGCAAGACGGACGGCGCCAACAAGGACCCCTACCGCCAGCAGTCGGTCGTCCTGGTGCCCGCCAACACCCCCGGCATTACCGTCCACCGCATGCTCAATGTCTACGGCTTTGACGATGCGCCGCACGGCCACGGCCACCTGACGTTCAACAACGTCCGCGTGCCCGTCAGCAATGTGGTGCTCGGCGAGGGACGCGGCTTCGAGATCATCCAGGGCCGTCTGGGCCCCGGCCGCATCCACCACGCGATGCGCACAATCGGCGCCGCGGAGCGTGCGCTCGACTGGATGCTCATGCGCATCAACGACCCGCAGAAGACGCCCTTTGGCAAGCGGCTGCGCGAGCACGGCGTGATTCTGGAGTGGGTGGCGCGGTCACGCATCGAGATTGATGCGTCGCGTATGCTGGTGCTCAACGCCGCGATTACCATGGACGAGCAGGGCCCCAAGGCGGCGCTGTCACAGATTGCCGAGGCCAAGGTCATGGTGCCCAACATGGCGCTGACAGTCATTGACCGCGCCGTGCAGGCCTTTGGCGGTGCTGGTGTCAGCCAGGACACGCCGCTGGCGGGCATGTGGGCCAACATCCGCACGCTGCGGCTGGCGGACGGCCCCGACGAGGTGCACCTGGCGCAGATGGGCCGCAACGAGAACAAGCGCGGCGAGGCCGTCGCGCAGCAGATTGCGTGGCAGCAAGCCAAGGCCGCCGAGATGCTCAAGCAGCGCGGCCTGACCAAGGTCGAACCCGGCACGCGCATCCAGCACCGGACCAGCTCGCGTCTGTAAACGGTGCAGGAGATGGGTGGTGAACAAGCGCACGATACTCTCTATAGTTTCGTGTCAGATTGTACAAAATAGAATGGCCGAGCTGTGGTCTACGATTGGTATAGGCGATCGCATGACAACATCAATAAAATTGCATAATATTGTACCCTATCGATTGAACCATTCGACGTATTACAATCACCGTACGCTTTAGATCACGATACACGTAGCCCTGACGTGTCAAATGTCGCCGTCGCGTTCCTGTGGTGATGTCCAGCACGCCCCGTCTTCCTTCTTCGTCCCGGAGAATATGTGCCAGCGACGGTCGGTGGCAACAAGATGACAGGACCATAATCCATGCCGTCCTCGCGGTCCGTTTGGCCAGGCCCATAAATGTCGCAGTACAAAATCAACAAGTCGCAGAACACGGCCGTTGCGAGAAAGCATTGGTGCTTAGTGGTCCTTCCCTTTTGGGACCTGTAGCTGTGCGCAACAACATGGCGGTGGTAGGTGGGTCCCCACATCCATACCAGCCGATGCCACCTGCCAGGCGTTGCCACGCCAACCCGCACCTTCTCTGTTTATCCGACGACTCATATTTTACTCATGCTTTTCGTCGTCAGGCGGTAAGATACCAAAAGTTGCACCGCCATAGCCCAGCGACGCCTAACAATTTGGTGGCTTTGCTGGCCAGGTGGCGCCTTCCTTCCCCGATCCACGTTCCTGCCCCGTGCAGCGCCCGAAACAGATCGGTGAAAAAGGAGCAAGGCCTTGCATGAAGAAATGCACGCCTGCCTAGGGAAAGAAGCCCCGCCGACTGTCCTTTTCATTTTCTGTTTCGTTTTGTCGGTTTTCTACTATTTCATCATTTTTGTTTCCAAATCCCGTACACTTTTTTCGTTCCCGTCAGACTTAAAATCGGCTTCCCCCATATTTTTTGTCACGACACATCCAACATTCAGTCGTTCACACTCGCACGCACTGCGCATTATCTCTCCCTTCCGTCGACCTCTCTCGAATTCGCCTGTCCCTCCTGCTACAGTCGCAGCTCTCTCACAGTCGCAATGGACTTTGCACCGGCACCGGCAGTCAAGTCTGCCCTCGGCGACAAGGACGTGAACGCTGCCATCACAGCCAATGCCGGCAACACGGACGGCGGCAAGGACATCAGGAGCATGGAGTACCACCGCCAGGTTCTGCAGTCCAAGATGCAAGCCGAGGGGTGCGTCTTTGTCGTTTCCAGCCTCACGTTCTCGTCCCAGTACTAACCCTATGTTTCAAAGCCCCAAGCAGTACGTTTCGCCGTCCGACAACATCATGAGCCCCTGCACGGCAAAGCTCAAGGCCCTGCGCACGAAGCAGGCTGTCAAGGCCAAGCCCAAGTCCCTGTTCGCCCAAGCCTCTGCGCGTAAGATGATGGAGGGCGGCAGCGGCTCGAGCAGCTCGCCGTTTGACTCCGAGTAGACAGATGCTCGATGTTCCAGCTTGCCTTGGACCTTAGTCGCCGGCCCACTGTGTCTGCATTTGTTTTCAACTACACGCCTATTATTACCACATACTAGGCAGTCTCGCCGTGGCCAGGCTGTCTTATGTCTCTTGACATGCTATTGATTTTCGGGCCGAGAGGCCGAGAGCGACGAGATGTGGGCCCAGCTTCGTTGTTTTTGGCTTTCTGCGTTTTGGCTTCTCTGCCTTTTTTTTTTTGGACTGGGCATTTTGGCGTTGTGCTATCGGCCGTGGAGTTTCCTTTACCGTTTTATTTTGTTTACCTTTTTGGCCGTTTGGGACTGTCAACTTACTTTCTTCATACCTTTTCCTTTGTCATTGTCATGCTTCTCCGTCGTTTTACGCACACAAAAAACACCAGAATGATTTATGCAAACACCTAGCAAGCACAAGTGACACGAAACATGGATATTTCAAAACGTTCCTACCATTATGTACAGCCTGTCTACTGCTCGACCACGCCGTTTATGCCTTCCAGCCACTCACAATGTACACCACGTCCTCGTCCGACACTAGGTGGCCCAGGCCGACCCGCTGCGGCACATGGCGCGCGCTCGCTCCCCACACCAGGGCGTACTTGAAGGTATCTTTGAGCGTTCGGTGGATGCGGTCGCACACGTCTTCGATTGTGCTGTTGGACCGCACAATCAGCGCCTCGGAAAAGTTGGGGTCCACGCCCTTGCGCTTCGTGTAGATGCGGATCAGCCGCAGCTCCTGCCAGCACCGCTCCACCACCGCCTGGATACCCAGATCCAGCTCACAGCTCATCACCGCCGTGTACGGCTCGCGGGCCAACTGGTCCAGGAACTCGAGCGAAACGCTGTCAATCTTGTTGTAGACGT